AGGTATTGCATTCGATGGTCTGGAATGGAGGGGTCTGGAACGGAATTCGGGGACTTGATCCGGAGCTCTGGATCGGAGTCTGGATCGGGATGTGCGCTCGCCCTTGTTCCGGACCTTTCATATTGCGCGGTAGCCACATGACCCTACACGTAAGAGGCACAGTTGCCAGCAGGCCCGCGTACTTATGTCAGCTTATCTTGCTTGAGGCAGCGCAAGTATCTATATCCAGGATGCCAAAGCCCCCCCGTCTCTTGATTTCTGCCTGTCAAAGCCGGTTCCATCCTCATCAAAGGTCTGTCCCCGCGGTATGAGCAGAAATCAGGAGGACTTTGTGGTATTGCGCTTCGCAGTGCGCGCGCGCACCCAGCAGTCCAGACTCGTCCAAGCCTCTCCAGGCATTGCAGCTCATTCATGGGGAGCTCAGGCATTTTTTTTGTGAGTGGCCCCGTATCTGGCCACACCAATGCCGGGTTCGCTAGTTCTGGCGTTGCAATCAACCAAATTGAGCACGGCACATTCCACCTGTTTGCGGCTTGCAACCGAATCATCGAATGCCACATGTTTTATGTTGCTGTTTTCTTCCTCCGTCCCGCTTCGCTGCTGAGTGCATAGGAAATGCCGGAGGACAAGCGCAGCAAGAAGAAAAGCACCCAGAAATCAGGTTTGCAACGCGAAGTCTTCAGTCAGTTACTCCTGCACAGGAGAGCAGTCCCGATGTTGGCAGACCCCTCCCGCAGGATTCGAGGCAGGGGCTTCCTCTGCGTAGGCTTCAGCCTCGAGCGCGGCAGCTTCGGCTGCAGCCGCCAAATCTTCACCTCAGGCAGTCCATGGAAACTGCTTACTCTGTACGGGTGCTGGTAGTATGCCCTTCTTGACAAGAGGCCTGGGAAAGAACCTTCTGCTTGGATGACGATGTTCCTCAATGGTGAGGCTTCACTCGGCGAGGATGCCTTGTGGTGGCAGCAACATGATTGCAAGTGCACTCGCTTTTATCAGCATCTGAAGAACTGGGACAATGGCTGCTCCCAATAAGAAGTCAATTGGTGGCAAACTCTCCCTGCCAGCGGAGCCCTCCATGACCTTTGGCAAGATGTGCATCCAAGGAAAGTCGATGCGTCCCCCCTGCATACAGTCTTGAGAACACAGCAATTAAGCAATTAACGCTCAACAGTGCAAATGCTGAAATGTTGCAGGCTATGCCCCCATCCGTGACGTTTGTTGAATTGGAGAGCTGCGCACCACGCACCATCAACGCTTATCTCTTATGCGAACATGTCATCTTCTCTGTGACCGGCGAATTGACATGTCTGATCATGTTTGTGCTGCGGAAAGGCTTGGTTTTCAGATTGAAGTGTTTTGAAAATTGTTGAAAGTGGTAAAACGCCCGTGCACATCTAGCTTTTGTGCCCCACCTCTGCCTGGTCTCTCGCAGGTTTGGGATCACGAGGAGGTGAGCCAATTTCCTGAACAGCACAGAGAACTTTGCTCTAGCATCCGACGAACACACAGCTGCCTCTGCATGAATCTGAGCCATTGCAGCTTGCCCCATAACAGCCAGCGAAGCCAGATCCTCATCTAGACAACACTGTTTGCAGGGGGCCACTCGCAAATGCAGCGGCAACTAATTTACTTTCCGGACACATTCTTAGGCATTCCTAGCAGGCTGCCTCGGCACTCGGTGCCCCGAACTCATCGTCCGCAGGATCGACTGCAGGCCGTTTTGCTGATGAAGAGGGCTCCGGACCTCCAGGAGAACGTAAATCAAGCCAACAGGAATACAAACGTGCCGCAAAGCAACAGAACGGAATGCAGCTCAGGCTATGTCTAAGCGTGATTAGCGCGAGTGGAGCCACATGGCGGCGGCCCTCCTCCAAGCTAGCCTCAACCTAGAACAGCCGTGAATTTCTCGTCTTGGTAGCTGCACGTAGCTGCAAAGACTGTCAAACCAGCCTCCATCTCTGGCAGTTCTTCCATGAGCACATCGAGCCTCAGCTCATGGGTGTCAGCGAGTGCCAGCTCCTGCACTCTGCGTCTTACAGCTTCTAAGCTCAGGTCCCTCCCCCACCAAAGTCCAAGGGCTGCACCTAGGACGTGATCAACTTTGCCATGCCACCCAACTGCTTTGCCGAGAAGCTAGCCTGCTCCAAGTTTCGTAGAGTCACAGCCTGGGGCACCGAATGTTCCCAACAAGTTCGCATGCCGAGGTGGCTATTGTGCGAGCTCCGCGCATAAAGCATGATCTTAATAAAGACTTTGAGAGTGCTCCCTAGCTCTAGCCAGCCTACCTTCAACACCTCAATAGGTTCTTAAAATCATGAAGCAACAATATCGTCGAGCATAAACTGCCTGGAACTGTTCCGAAAGAAGATGTCCTGCTTGTATTGAGCTTGCGGCTGAGGCAGCCAGCGTGGGGACTGTTGGTAAACCTGGACCTTGCCCGAGGTGAGAAGTTGCCAGTTCGAGGCATCTGCAAAGAATAGGCCAGCTTGCCCGAGGAAAGACTCGTCAGCAGCGACGTCCGCACCTGCCGCCATCTCAAGCACTCCTAGCACTCCTCGAGAACTCCTCGAGAACTCGAAGCAGTTCGTCCAACACACATCGTCCCAATTGGCCTCGTCGGCTTTGTTCTCGAGGTCTTCGGCCTTGCACGGCTGCGCACTTTGGAACTTTGGAACTACAGAGTGCTGCCTCCATCTTTCAGCGCCTGTCTCAGCAAAATTCTCAGGATGCCCAGCATCAAGTGACCTTGTTCTTGTTCGGAGCTAGTACGAAACTGCTGCTGGCTTCTAGGCTGGGGTGCCTAGACACCTCAGCGGAATCCCGCCTCAGGGGCGCGTGCAGCACACAGACTTCCAGTAATGTCGGTCCATGCTGCGTGGCATCTGCTCAAGGTCTAAGCCAACAGCCCATGTTTTCAAGTAAAAAACCACATGTGCTCTTCACATCTGCACTCCTGAGTGACGTTCAACATCTGACACAGAGGATTCGGGGTATGGTGCTGAGCACCGAGAGCTGAGGATAGAACAAATAATCCTGGCCTCGGAGCAGCTCTTTGAGGCCAGACCACAGCCAGCTTCATGTTACAAAGTTGCTTGGCAGCTAGCGCTTGAGCCTGCGCTCGAAGTGGCAGGCCACCCAAGCCTGCACAGGACTGCAATCATATGCAATGCAAATAGATCTGCTTTTATGACCTCATTATGTGCAGCCCAAGATAATGCGGCCTTCCAAAGCAAGCCGCCTTGCTTCACGAGCGAGACCTGACTTCATTTGAGGCATAAGCTCCAAATCGGTGTACAGCAGGCACTTGGCGCCAGGCAAAATCCATAATGCCTCTAGAACAGCATGACTCAGGGTAAATCAGTACGAATTCAATAATGTGAATGTGCGCTCAACACAGCACACACAAGGATCTGGAAAAGCTCGTCAGCAGTGCCTGTTGCAGCGAGTTTGAGCTGCTGGCCTGTGCTTCTCCGCACGGCCAAGCAGGCAGAAGGCACAATTTATGCTTGCTGCGAAATCTTGTTCTGGCTGTGGCAGTCAGAGGCATTGGTGATGTTGCCGCGATGCATTCTGGGGCTATGTCGTTAAAGTCTAAAGCAAAAAACTCTGATGTGAATATGAAATGGTTGAGCCGAAAAGCCACGGGCGCAGCCACATGGGCAAGTAGGCAATGCTGGCTCAACGCCTAGCATCTTGGTTCAGAGGGTGAAGGTGGGCCATCTGCTTCAAAGCTATGCATAACGTGGCGGCCGGCTTTCGATCCAGCACGTCCATGACATCCTTGCTTGCATGCCATGTTGCAGGGAATAGAGACAAGAAATCTTGAGTCCAAGCTATCCTGTGTGAAGTGTGTGTCCACTCTGAGTTCAAGCTTGCCGCGCTCCTGCGGATTCACCGAGGCCCCTTTCTGGGCGAGAAGCTGCTGGGCCTGAGAAGGATGATTCGGCAAGACTCTGCCTCCATCATGATCCGCTGCTAAGTCCACCCGCATCTGTTTTTCAATCAAGGGTTCATATATGTTCATATACAAGTACTGTAGTGCAGTAAGCTTGTAGGATTTCAGTGAGCCTGGCGAGCAGCAATAAAACAATGCAGCTATCAGGCAGCCTCTTTCAATCCCATGTCGCCTGGCGAGTGTTTTTGTGCCTGAAGAAAGAGGTGATGAGAGCAGTCTTGCATGATCCCATTGAGATGAGTGGGCCTGCTTCAGCCAAGCATTGGCCTCTGCAACCTGCTTTCGCACCAAATAACCTTCAAGCGAAGCTTGTAAGGCTTAACGGTGCTCAACGGACTTCCCAGCAAAATGTCTGCGAAACGTGTGCCTCTGGCAATGCTTTGACAAACGTCTGCCAATGACACCTGGCAAGCGTGCGCTGAGTGCACGACCTCCTCCAGCTGACGAAGGGTAGGCAAAGCTCAGCACGCTACGTTGCTCGGCAATCGCAAGCTTGTAAGCCATCTTTCATCCGCTGCGCCCGCTTGAAGCTGCAACTCCTCTTGAGTACTACTGCATGACAATATATCAATCACAATGGAAGGAAGGGGGGGGCACAGCTTGCATCTTGCTGTGTCCAGGAATGTACGCGCAGACCAGGACCAAGCATTCAGTCTCAATTGAAGTTGGTGCGGGTGCAGTTAAGGACCCACGCTAAGCGCATTCAAGTGGACCAGAACCAGGTAGCATGCAGAATATTGCAGCTGCTGCGGATAGACACGCAGCAGGATTCCACCACTAGCATTTCTCGACAGCAGCTTAAGGCATGCAGCACACGCAAGAGTGACATGCGTTGACCCGCTCCGCCAACAGGTACCAGGCATCCATGTGCAGAGGCTCAAAGCCTGCAGTGACAGCCCAGCAAATGGCAACACACGCTGCCAATTCTTCCATCATATGCTGGCCAGCTGGCTGCACACCCCCTGATGCTCAGCGCAGCACGCAGCAATCCTTCACAGCACTGCCTCAGGCCGCGGACTCACGGATCTGGCGTGCACCAAGCACCAGGTGGGGTAGGGCTTCCGGCCTGCAGGATTCATCCTTCCGTAGTTTGTACCTAAACTGTTGGAATTCGCGCATGGTGCACGAGACGCTTCTTAACAGGAAGCACTTGACGAGCGCGAGCCACCGAATTGCGTCCAAGTCTGTCCTGTCCAGCCTGGCATGCGAACATTCTAGGTCGTCAAGGTTCATAAGATGGAGAGGGTGACGAAGGGAGCCTGAATAGACAACGCACGTGGATGAATGAGTGAGGAGGTGAGGAAGGAGAAAGGATCGTCTTTCAGTGTATGAGCACCAGGCAAATATTTTTGAGAAGCTCAACTGGACAAAAATCAGAAAGAATCATCGAACCGATAGCTGACCGAGATGAATCGAGATGAGATCCTCTGCTACGAACTTGCGTCCCAGCTCATGTGTTGGCCGCCACCCACTGCGTGCTAGTTCGTAGTACAAGCCTTGGGAACTAAAGTACAAAAACGTCCACGGCAGGTCTCCTGCATTTTGATGTCCGTTTTCTTTCGGTTGGTGGTTACTTCGAAGACACACAGAAGCACGAAAACAGCCACGCTTGAACCAAGTCAATTGAAAAAAACAAGCCCGGGCCACTCGCAAATTCTGGTGAACAAATGCTCTGCTTCGTGCCAGTTGGCTTGTCGGTACCTGACATGCAACACGACCTTGACTGACTATCTTTGATTGGGGAGCTATATTACTTTACAAACAAGGTGGGCTCACGCGAGCTGCCCCAACTCCATCAATGAAGGGAGATGGTTTGGCTCCAGCTCCAGCCCTCGTGTGAAGCACTGAGCAGCCTGCGCTTGTAAGCAAGTGGGACAAACGACAAACATGACAGCATCTGCTGGGTCTGCCTTCTGTGGCTCCCCAACACGGGCATACTCCTCCCCAAGAAAATGCATCACCTTGCTTCCAAGAGCAATGAGGAGTCACTCGAGATGCGGCAAGTTAATTGCTCTGCATGCCCCGGGCTTCCGGGTGCGGATGACATTGCGCAGCGGACTCCGCAAGGCTGATGGCTCGCTCATGATCCTGGGTTTTGCATGTCACCTATGCGCTTCGATATACTTCGATGTGTAACACAGATGTAACTAGGTGTCCTCAAGCTCTCGGCAAGCTTTGGCGCCGTAAGACCGCGCCTTCAGCGCATTCCATGGCAAGTCTTGTTGAGCAAGGCTTTCAGCCCTGAACCTCGACAGCTCTGGAATCACCATCCGGCACACGGTCAAACTCGATCACGGCCTGGCGATACCTGGCCCACTGCAAGTGAGGGGCTGTATGGGCTGTACGGAACCATTGTGGATCAAAGTTGGCGCACTGCTTCATGAGAAAATAAGCCTCAGTCCGGATTTCTGTTCATCGACACCATGCGCTTCACTTTCTGGACAGAGGCTCGCGCCCTGCCCAACGCAAAGTGCACATCAACACGACCTGCAGGAGAGATGAAACCGGCTCGAGAATTTTGGGTGCAATCCCAAGACATCCCAAGACCACGCAGCCTGGGCATAAAGATTTGAGGATATTCTTGTAAATCTGCACAGCTTTGGAATACCTGCAACTTCAGGCATCTTCAGTCACCTTCAGGCCAACGTGGCCAGCAGCATCACTGCATGTCACCCTGGCATAGGTCACTGCTTGGTCGACTCATAGCACTGAGCTAGAGAGATGTGCCCGTCGGGGCCACCAGGCTGAATCCTCTCATCCAGTGAAAAATGTGAAACCAGTAGAAGTAGAGGTTAGCCTGGTTCCCTGCCACAGGAGTCCTCACAAGTGTCTCAAGATGTTGGATAGCACCTTGCACGATCAATCTGAATCGAATGGATGTTAGCAGGAACCGCGGCGGGCAGGGCCTGTATAATCTTTTGAAGTCTTCAGGATGTCACCCAGCAGCCACAAAGCCTCAAGCATTGCAGACCCTGTCATCATGGAAGCCTGAACGAGACAGGTTTGCCCTGCCTTGCTGTGGTTTGGCTCAAGCTCCAAGACTTGCATGAAGAGCTCCCTTGCATGCTGATACTTCCTGTCAACGCTGGAATTGACATAGCAATCTATGCAGCACAGCCAGCACGGCAACACAAATGCGAGGCTACTTCTGTTGCGAAGCTGGCCAAATTGGTGGCCAAGCGAGCCAGCAGCACTGTCGTTTTCTCTCCACCCATGCGAGGGAGAACAAGGTTTCAACCTTGGTAGATAGGACTGACTGTGCACCGCAACACCTTTTCCCATCTTCATCCATCTTCGGCCCTGGCATCTTTGGGATCTTGTCTGTGAGCCTTCTCGTACCTGAGCAGGAACAGACTGCGTTTGCGCAGAAGCCTCAAGAGATGACAACCGATGCGCACCACTCGTAGGCACCAGTGTAGTCCTGACACTTGGCGTACACCAAACCTATGTTGTTCAGGATCTGAACCTGCATCCAGAGGAAGTCACTCCGACGTCAACATCGCACTGTTCCTCCGCTTCTAAGTGCCGCTCGCTAGTCGGCTCATGCATCAAGGCTTGCTTGAATCGCCGGACGGCCTGAGCAGCCCAGCCTTGCTCTCTCTCTGAGCGCATCTCCACATTCAGAGCCTCGTCGTAGAGCCCGCTGTTCAACAATTTCACGCCCTGAGCATTTTCCTCACAGCACAACATTAGAGTCACTCAATCTTGCAGACAAGCGAAAACCAGCTCTACATGATATAGCCGCAAATTACATCTACATTCTCCAGCTGCATGTTGCAGACACTGCGTGTGCGGCCAAATACTTTCTGCATTGCAAGGGAGCATGACATCAGCAGTTCAATTGCAAAGTTGTTAGGCCGAAGCATTTGGGCTACGACACTTTTTGCTGGTTCTCCCCAGGCAGGACATCATGCACTTGATGTGCAGTTTAGTCTTCCATCACAAGTCTACATGAGAATGTCAGGTCCTGCGCGGCCTCGCTGTCTTCTTTGCTGAGGCCTGGAGAACAAAGGAGCTCAGGAGACGCAAATGAACTGTTGCTGTCGACATGTAGCGAGCCTCTGCTGTTGCTGCTGCTGCTGCTGCCTTCCGCCGCAAGTTGTTCAGGGAAGGCGACAAGTGCAGTGTGCAGGATGAGGACTTCAACCAAACAGAACTGCGGGGAACTGGTCGTCTTCTGCTACTGGCTATAACTTATAACTGTTTACGTGCTGACTATGTTTCGCGTTGCTTTGCATTTCCACTGCTTAAAAGAATGCGTGCTGCCACGCCTCCCACCGCTTCAACCGACACCAGGCGGGGTGCCCGGCCCTTGTCAGCAAGAAAATACTTGAGCTCTCGCATGTTGTCAACTTTGCGCCTGCGGATATGCCTTAGCATCGGATCTGCTAGGTCCTCCTGCAGCCAATTCACATGATCACCAATTTCATACAAATTATATGGGCAGCCTTCTGCTCTTCGCGTACTTCGTATACTAACATTGAGACGCGCCCTTCGAGAGGCAGCAAAGCCAATGAGATGTCCCTTGATTGAAATCTTGGTCTGGGCTCCAATGTAACAACAGCGTACAACAAGAATCACGAAGCTTGCCATGTTTGATGACACCCGCGCGGCACTCTAGCAAATGCTCCAACATGGCAGAGCAGACCAATGAATCCACTCCCATGCTTTGGAACCTTCAAGGCTGGGTCTCAATAAAACTTTTGACTGCCTCCTCTGCTATGCTATGCTCGAAAAGGCATTGAACAAGGCACAAGGTCTCATGGACTATAGCCATGCATGTATACCAGCAGGAGATAGCAAGAGGATCAGGGCCTAGAAGCGATGCGGCCAGCAAATGCCGGCAATCTTCGTGGAAGCTTCAGACTTGAAGGCGCATCATTATGAGGTGCTGGAAAGATAGGGTTGGGATGCGTCAACGCCTTTCCCAAAGAAGACTGTGGAAGCTTTAGGCTCTGCTATTGAAGTTGAGGCAGACTCACATGGCATGCTGCGCTGCACTGGACTTGAACCATTTGCGTGCGTGGCTCCTCGAGCATCTCCAGGCGGCGAATCGTCCACCTTGCAAAATGTCTTCTTCCGAAGTATGTGGCAGTTCCCTCACAACAGCTCGTCAGTGCAAAATGCCTCTGGTATCGTCGCAACATCGCTTACGCCTTGCCTTAGGAAGACCGGATGACCTCCCTTGAAAGACTGACTCACATGATGGTCCAGCCACACAGCTGACGTTTTTCATTCCAAGGCCATTGCCCCATGTGCTGCTCACCACGACAGGGCTGCTTTAATGATCTGTGCCAATTCTATCCTGCTGTCTGATGCCTGTGTCAGCGACGTAGTGGTTGTGGTGTGTTGTTGTTTGGTGCAAGTTGGTCTGTGCTGAGGGCTGCTTGCCTCGCTTGGGCCAAGGTTTAAAACTGCGTCCGTGCCGTCTTCGCAGCTTTTCTAGAGTCACAGCAATGGCGACCTTGGGCATAATCAATAATCGACCTCCAAGCCTACTGGTGGGATTGGCTATGTGTATCCCCTGTCAGCGTCACGGCCACTGCTTCATGTTGAACTGCCTGCTCGCTTGCATCCCGCGGAACTGCCCAAGCAGCGGCTGGTCATGCATTGATAAACCTGCGACGGTTTGATTGGCTGTACAAGCTTCACAGGCCAGGAAAATGAACAACGCCTGGAAGCAGCCAGGTTCAAAGTCAGTACGTCGCCACCATCACCCCAAAACAATGGCAGCATCTGTGCACTTTCCACCTAGCGGCACGGGATGCGCATCTCGCATAAATACCGCCCTCTTCCAGGACTACCTGGTAGAATCTCGTGAAAGCTTAGTTTACCCAGTCTGACCTTGCTCCTGCACGCTGACCACAGGAAAGAGTCCTTGCGCCAGAAGTCCTTGTTTAGGGTCCCTACTCCAGGCTTCTTCTGCTTCTGAAGGGAAAACCTTCCGGGGGATTTAGTGACGTGCCAGCTGCTTAGGGATGCGCAGAGCCGTGGCCGCGGTGTATATGAGTCTTAAAAAATCATGGACTCGCGCGTATTTGCGCCGTCCTGCTGTCAAGTCAGCAGAGTTCCTGACATGGGTGCAACGCGGCACCGCGCCATCGGAGGGACCTGAGTAGCTTCATTGCCGCCAAGGGATCTTGAAATTGTTTGTGCTCAGTCTGGCACAGGCACCCATGCATCTCGACCTGGGTCCCAACCTTGGTTGACTGAGCAACACCATGGACATCAGAGAAACAAGTGCAAGGAGATTACGATTCCCCGTGGAGATTCGACGTGTAAAATCAAATCTGCTTTCAGCAAGCCTCACAAAGTGTGAACGTCTTTTGCGGAATCTTGGGATGAAGCATTCCACCGACTGGTGAGAAGCCTGGTCCCCTTGTCCGCCTTTCAGGGGCAGCGGCTCGAAAACGAATGAAAATTGCTCTAGCGGTATTTGTTGCCAGGACTGCACACATTCAAAATCTGAGGTCTGAACCTAGAACATACATTCGGCCGGCAGCCACTGCCAAAGCGGCCCCTTCCCGACCGCAAGACCTCCAGAGCGGCTCGGCCTTTAATTCAAACACCGTGCCTTGCAGGCTGTCATAGGAAGCAGCATATCCGGCAGTGGCTGCCACTGGCCACCTTGCGTCAGAACCCCGACAAGCTCACCTAATGCATAAGCGACGTAACTCAACTGCGCAGTTCGAGATTTCAAAACCAATTCCAATTCATGAGCCCGGCACTTCCTGGGTCCAAGACTTCAGCTTGCTTCAGACACTGAGCCTTCCAGCAAAACCAGCAGGGAGCACATGCAAAATGCACAGTTTGCTCTTGCAGAAAGGCCTTGTCGGATCCCCCAAAGACATATACCATACCTGCTGCTGCAGGTTTGCTGCTGTCTTCCCTGCACACTCCAGGCAGGCCGCTGAGTCACTGAGGAAGGCACCACTCACAGCAGCGATCGCAGCGTTGCGTCTCTTGATCGCCATCGGCGCAAGCCTGCTACAACCGATACACTGCACCGCTTGCAGCGCTTGCAGCGCTAAGTTATCTCTGCAGCCTTCGCCATGAGCCTTCATTCCAGTCCAAGCATTCCACAGATCTGAGCACCTGCGTTGGAAAAGAATCAACTTTGGGAAGCCTGGCCTGGGAAAGCCGAGGACACTGCGCGCGCTCCTTGGTGGCCACCACAGATAATCACCTTTTCAAGCAATGCAATGCAAAAACCAGGCCACTTCCAAAAAACATGTCCTCACTGCACTAGAACTTATTTTGATGCTTGCCTTGCCGTTTACACTGGTAGCGGCAGCACTACGCCTGACAGCTTGGGCAAGCTGCTAGTTGCTAGCGCGAGACGTGAAGAATGTGAGGACAGTTTTACATCTCAGGGAACTGCCTGCCCTCATGGAGCGGCGGCGCATGCCTTGCTAAGCACCCAGCTGAGCATGTCATCATGGTTTAGGTAGTTGCAGCAAGAAGTACTGTAGCTAAGTCTTCCACCGCCACTGCATGCGCGTTGAGTCAAAGAATTCTACCTCCGCTCAACCGATGTATGTCTTGTGATCCCTTTTGGCAGATAGCCCGTAAACTGCCACTGCCTTGTTAAGGTAATTCTGCCCGCAGAAGCCTCCCAGGCTCTGGACGGTCTCAATTCGTAGGAAGCAGCAAGACTAAGCTGAATCTGGGTTGCCTGCCTCCACACAGGAAAAGGCGACCACGAAGCTGGACGGCAGCAGCACCTTCGCGCCTGGCGTTTGATCAGCGGCCGGTTTTCGCACTTCTGCTGCAGCAAACAAGTATTTTATGCCGCAGTTGGCCATTTGTCTTTGCAGAAAGATGGACCAAGAGTCTCACAGTCTCTCCTGCATCTGCGTACACCACATCTCTTCTGAACAGAGTCTTCTTGTTTGCTTTTCTGGCGTGATCACTCCAAGCGAAGTCTCCTGACTGACTCCTGACTGACTCCTGCTTGCCTGTAAAGAAAAGCCATCAAAGGTTGGATGCTCAGCAGTGCTGCTGTAGCGGAGAAGCAGCATACTTCCGACTAAATGCGCTACTGTTTTCCGCAATGTATTCGCCATTCAGCATGATTCTCTGCCTGCACATCATCGCAGGAAGCGGATGCCACCTTAGGACAGGCTGCCGGAGCTTCAGCACATCATATTTGCAAGTTTCAGTGACAACTGCTTTCGCGCACCGGTTTTCGGTGGGATCGAAGCGCTCTGCCGACCTGGTCGTTAGCACTTCTGATGGTTCTTGTGCTGAGGCTGACTTTCTGACAAACAGTCATTGCAATTTTGGTTGGCCTCATGAAGTGTATGTCGTCGAAACCGGCACAGACGAGAAGCTGGCCATGGACTGCCGCTGCCTCGGGGTAAGTCAGTGCAGCAGAGCCGGCGCTGTCTGGCTGTGAAGCCGCAATAAACTATATGTTGCCAACAAGGAGTCTTTTCAATGATTCAGCTGCGTTTTCATGAAATGAGTTTTGCTTCCCGCGGTTTCCCGACCGGCTGCTTGCGCCCTCGGATTGATGCTTCGTTACCGCTCTCCTCTACGCCATGCAGAGCGCAGAGGTTGAAGAAAAAGTGCTGAAACGGCTCCTATGAGCTTGCATGCAAGTGTTAGCAACTCGGTATCGGCTTTGCTTTGAATACTTAGAGGATCGGTCAGAGCCGGTCCTACCTTAGGGGTAATTGGGGCGGGGCATGCATCTTGTCAAGGTGTTGCCTATAGAACTTAGCGTGAGCCGCGCCGGGTTCGCTCATCCTGCAGCATGGGTCTGCTAGAAAACTCGCGCTGGGAGGTTGGAAGAAGTCGACGGACTAGTCGCTCAGTACGCTGACGCCACAGCACGGGTCATTGCTGAGATGCTTTCCTGCCAAACGCCGATATCATTTGTCATTAAACCAGAACTGAATTCATGGCGACATCATGTTGGCGATCTTGGTAGAAGCTCTTGTCAAAGGATCTCCGATTCTGCAGTGAGCGAGCTATGCTATTCATGTCCTGGCAGCAGTATCAGTTGTCATTGCCATGCTTCCAACACGCGCTGAGATATACAGACGCTTAGATCCTGTAGAAGAAGATGTCAGCATCTCATCGCATCTCTGTGCTGGTGTGCGTCGGCATTCGTTTTATTACCTATGCTTCTGACTTTGACTGCGCATCTCCTTGTCAATGCTAAGTTTAGAGGTAACTAGATCACGAGTCAGAAGGTGTCACTGGCAAAAACAAGTGTCCGAGGCTTTGAAGGCCTTTGCTTGCAATCATGCTGTAGCATATGCGTTCGCTTTGGGGATCTAGGTGATAGGCTTTTGCGGCTTAGAATAGGGGCTGTGTCTGGAAATGCCTGGTGTGGGATGCCAGGACAGGCTCGGTGGAGAATTTGGAGCATGGGGACCGGAAGCGGCATCGGCGGGTAAGAGCCTGAGCTTGCTGAGACGACTCGGACTTCCGGCTCAAGCGTGGCGTATTATCAATGTATGACATCTTGTCTTTGGAGCCCAACTAGGTGATTCGTGCACATCAGGCACCTCTGAACCCCTCCCAGCTTTGTTCACAGGCACGACGGCTAACGCAATACCCAGACAAGTCATGTGCTACAAAAGCGTGCAAGGCGACTGCTCTGCATTTAGCTTGGCGCAGCAGACGCCTTTCGTTCAAGGTCAATATGCGTGGCGCTGCGTGCCCTAACAGCCTGGACCCAACTTAAAGCCTGCAGGCTTTGAATCTTTAAGGTGATGACAGTGGCACTGGCCCGCGCGGCCTGCAACAACATGGCTTTGCGCGGAGGTTTTCAACGCCTTTCAAGAGCGGCTTTCACGGAGGCCTGCATCTTTGGCAGGAGCTCCCATGCATTTGACCTCTGCCCGGACATTTCAGACACCCTGCAATAATGACAGACCACCTGCCTGACATCCAGGCGTTCAACATGCGGAAAGAAATTTGTGCCTCAGAAAGCAAGGCTCTGAACAGCTGCCACCATAGCCATCTGATCTGCCATCAGACAATTTAAGCCTGTCAGACCCCGGCCATCTTGGCCACCAACTATGTACAAACTGCCAAGCACAACTGCGGCAGCTGCCTCGGGCGGATCTCATGTTCCATGCCGTTAAGTCTTCGCCCTGCGCACTTTCACCAAGACACCCTGCTGCGGGCCACTGCAAGAGGTGGCAGCGTTCGCCAAAGATGGGCCTGGCAGCGACACGTGTTTCCGTACAATTATTGCAACATAATGCAAAAAGCAGCTGCACCTGCACATCCATGTACTCGGCATGCTTTATGCTCTGGCTCCCATCGAACCCTCCGCAGACGTAGATACCTGAAATCGTGAGACAACTTGCTTCGGGTTTAAACTCGGCAGGGCAAACTTCTGCTGCGCACGCAGGGGAGAGATCCGCTCGACGTGCTTGAGCACGGGGTCCCCACACTGGCTGAATCCCAGACTTTAGATGCAAATCTGCGTATGACAAAAATGCATATTCACAGTGTAAGTGTAGTCATGCAACCTAACTTCCGGCCAAGTAGTCGTAAACGTGCCAACCATGCCTTGCAGTTCGCACGGGAGGTAGCAATAAGCTGCTGTCCAGCCAGAGGACCTGTCAAGCCAGAGGTTCACGAAGGGTAGCGCCGCTGTATTGGACTTTGAAACGCTCTGCGCATCGGTTGCCTGCAGCATGGATGATGGCCGTTGCAAGCTCGGGTGTCTGCAAGGCCTGGGCGCAGACAAACTTGGCAAACTCAAACAGGCAGCTATCTTGCCTTTGGCTCACCTGTGCAGCACCTGCTCTCCGCCCACCAAGTGGGTATGCCTGCAGGTCAAAGGTGCTTTGCGTTGGATTCCGGGAGTCTGCTGCAGGACAGGGCCTGCGACGTGGCTTCAAACCGTTTGTTGTGGAGTCGTGCCTTGACTTATGTCAGAGAAAACGTGCCGCAAGTCGTACAAGAAGGACCGGACCAGGAATTGTTGCTGTTGCAACACGCCAGTCTCTACCTCAGGCCCGAAAACAAGGACAACATGGGTTTGGGGGTGTCAAGAGATCCCTTCTACATGACACCCTTAGCCTCATCCGGGTTGCGAAGGGAAACGTGCTCCCGCCCGTATACTGTCCCGTTTACACACCCATGAGCCCCTGCCAGCCAGGAGGATTCGTAAAGGGCAGATTACGGGACAAAGCTCACGGCACAAAGTTGCTGTCCACGCGGCTAGGTATGACTTCAGGACACTCATCTCCAGCAATAAATCGTTGACAGTTGCCTGCACCACGCTAGCTGGACAAGAACGGGTCATCCCATGCCAGAAACGACCGCCACTCTTGTTGCGTGCAACCGACCTCCAGCTTCTGCGTCTGGGACCAGCCACGGAAAGCCGAGGCTGTCATCGAAGATCATGAAAGTCGACCGAATAAGACAAATCACTGCTAGTTTGCTGCAGTCAAGCTGGGACACTGCAACTTGATCCAACGCAGCACAGCTCTGTCAATAGCATGCATGCGACCCAAAGTTTACTTGTCGCGGATTGATTTTTGAATCTGTTCTGCTTTTGGTTGTGTGTTGGTGGGCTTGTTCACTGAAACCTACCCTTCAGGGCGTTCTGGACACCTCAAATACTGTCAGCATTTGGCTTCAAAGCATTGTAACTAAATGAGGGATTGTTCGGCTGTTCGGCTCGCTCCCTACCCCTGTGCAGGCCTGTCTCATATGTCAGCATGAAAGTAAGAAGAATATTCACCTGCAACAACAGCGCAATCAGAATCATAACGATTACAAGAAGAATAGCATCGAGACGTACGGTAGCAGTCAGCACCAGAAACAGCAGCGGTGACGGTAGTGATGGTATATATTATAACGGCAGCAGCAACGGCATTGATAGCCCAAGCAAACAAAGTAGCAACCTTTCGTGACAATGTCAAAAGTGGTGCTAATGATCCATGGCAGCAACGGTACCACCAGTAAGAACACTGGCAGCGGTCACAACGGTGATGTCCACTGTATTACTTGTGATAGCAGTGGTTACAATACAGCTGGCAACGGTATACTGGGTATACTCGGAACAACAGTGATAACAGTAGCGATGTAGAGACAATGGTACGCAGAGTCACAAGACAATTCAGAGTTGGAGTAATAGCATGAACTGTAGCACAATAGAGAGTCGAGAATGGAAGACCGAAAGCAACACGAAAAAGCTGAGAACAGAGTCACTGGCCAAAACAGACAAGAAAAGAAACTACTTTGAGCAGTCCCGGAAGGCCCAACCTAAGGTTAGCTTGGGTGGCGCTTGGCTTTAGGTGTGCAAACTTAAACCTTTCCTACCTCTCAAGGGATTTCGGTCTTTGTGTGGCCGGCAGTTTTGGGAAATTGCCGAACCGATGCTTTTCATACTCCAGCGAAACGATCTTGAAGCAGCCTTCCTGGGAAAAATCTAGCGTCAATGCGGGGCACGCAAAGTGGGCAGCCTATCCCCCCTACCCCCCCCCCCGGCCCA